CTCACAACTTAGAAATAAAAAAACAAAATGGTTGTGTTTTTAAACAATTTACCACAGTAATTTTTACTTGTTCTTTATCCACCACCTTCAACTCATTTTGTGGTAGAAGTACTGTGCTGAGTATTCTGTAGAGGTGGAAGTCTGTTTATTGAGACAGCTTAAGATTTTGCCAGGAACTGTTTTTCTTTCTGGCAATTGATTTACTCAGTACTCACTCAGCACATCATGATTTCTTCTACCTGAACAGCAAGAGGTATAGAAAGAGCTTTCATATCTAAGTACCAAAATTTGGGTACAGATTTTGCCTTTGTATTTATGATATACTTGGTCTATGCTTTTTGTGCTCAAGATATTAACGGTATCTAAAATAGATTCAATAGCAGCCCTTTTTCTGATTCCAGACCACAGCTCAGTCTCTGCATAAACATAGTCCAAAACAAGATTCAGAGAAATTTTAAGGCTGACAACTTTAATTTTTTCATTCTTTCCTGAATCATTTTTGGATAACTTATAAACATAACAAAACTCACGTTACAACAACGGAAGAAAAATCTTAGTTAGCATAGCTTCGGAACACAACAGCAAAGCATGGTTTCTTCACATGAGAAGAGAAACATTTCGTAAAGGTACAACAGAATTAAAATGGAAATGGAATTAATTTTATACCTGAATTTTATTGACTAGGCACACATTAGTTAACAAAGAGTTTGATCTATGGAAAAATAGAAACTTCTGACCAAACAAACTGAAACACCTAACTTAAATAGCAATCGATATTGGGCATGATGACAACCATTTGGTCACATTACAAAACTAAACACACGCGCATTTAATTGTAACCATAACCATATATTCCTTATTATAAAATGAACGCAAGGTTCCCATAGTTCACAACAAAATTGTTTCCATTTTCATAAATAAGTAATAAAAATAACAGTTGCATTAGTGGAATGTGATACGTTGGACATGACTGAATCAATCACATTTTCTGAACTGACAACGTTGAGCATGGAGCTAATGAGGGGTAGAGTATACATTATCGAGCAAGTACAGCTTTACTGGCCACCTTCATATTTTCCACATGAATCTTGAAGCTTACATTTATTATTAAGGAGAGAGAATACATTTCTGAAAAAATCTTCTACTGTTATGTGTCTGGTACTTCAAAGAGAAACAAGTCATTCAGCAAGACCACGAAAACTAATAAGGCTAACAGCAATTCCCCCAAAATAAAAATTTGAAAAAAAAAAATTGAAAAAAAAAAATGAATGCTGATATAACATTAAAATTATTAACTTGGCAAATCTTTAGAACAAGCAGATTTTCACTATACACAAATCCACAAAAAACACTTTTTAATTTCTAAACCATTTGAGAACAAAGAACGTGGCACAGTGAATAACAAGATGAGATTTTTTTGCTAGGATAATCGAGAGAGTAAATCCATCAAAAAGGATAAAATTTTAACGACAACCTGGTGTAAAAATATAAGCTCTTTCCATTAATTTTCATAACCTGATGTGAAATAACCAACAGCTTAACGGCTCTAGATTTCTTATTTTTAGTAATAACATTTTTCCATCTACAACACATAACAACTTGAAAATTTCCTTCACAGAAGAATAACATACATCCTTTCCTTTATTGTCCACTGCCATGTTAGCAGTGAGAAACTAAGAGACCAGAAATTCAAGTATGGGAACATTAAGTGATAGTTCATTAAATGAATTGTGGAGGGAAATACAGACGGCGGTGGAGGGGACTAGACAAATTTTAACATTTCCAATTATGCCAACTTTAATTCTACCATGAAGTTATCAAGCCAAAATCATGGTCCCTGGTCCCTAGAGACTTCACTGTCATCGACCAGCAAAGCAATTGATGCGACTTGCGCATGCTTGAAATAGCATAATTACTTTTCTCATTTTTCATAACCCCTGACACATTAAGAAAATTTGTAAAATTGAATTCTTGTAAAGAAAATTTTGCTTAGTGGGCAAGTAAGGTCGTACAGCAGAAAGATGTTATGACAGTTCAAAAACAAAATTTGTGCTTGTTGCAATCACAAATGGTCAATAAGCATATCACATTTAGGGGAAAAGGGGAAAAGAGTAAACCATATTAGCATCATAGCAATGGTCTTTCAGTACTTAACCCAGGACTTTTTTTTTAACTCACTATTCAGTAAATCAAAACAAAAATAAATGAAAATACTGTGAATTTAAAAGTATTATTTTCTTGAAAATGTAATCACAATTTTGATAGAAACATGCCATTTGATGAAAATTGTCTGTCCATTCATTTCCTCATTAAAAGCATCAGTCTTTCTTTTCATAAAAATAGGCCATACCACTCGATCTGTACCTTGAGAATATCAACCACAACACATGTGTCTTTCAGATGAGAATCTATCCTTAAAAATGCAAAATATCAGTGGAAAGAGGTGGCAGTTAAGTATACACTGATAGTGATTGAATGTATCACTGGATGAAGCCACTTCTCACATTAAACAAGTATTAACAGCAAGAAAATTAGTTTTTAGGCCCTAATCACTGAAAAAGCATAGATAAAATGTTTTCTATAAATAAGTTAAAAATTTGGAATTTTTCTTGTACAAGTGACAGACATTTGAACTTTAGGTAGCTGTTCTAGAGGGGTGTAAAATGTAAAACTTTCAGCTCAAACCAAACTGGTGACATGAGACATAGAAAAATACTGAGCCAACCCTTTGTAGAAATTATTTGGAAATTCAGTGGACAGTAAAATAGATGAGTGATGATATCCATGAACATAATAAACATAACTAAACAAGGTATTTAGATCTAAAGCTGCCTACAACTATATGGAAGTGGGGATATATTAACAGAATATACTAGTGATCAGTTTAAATTATGACAATAATATTAGATAACATGTCCATGCGACCAAAGTACGAAGTATTCCATAATGGACGAAGTAATTAGCAAAGGACGCTGAGACAATGCTCACCTGGACTATGTAGGCCTAGCATTTCAAGTAGGCAGTCTATAACATTAACAAAGACTAGTGCATAATTTAAAATGAAAACAAAATATGAAGCCTTCGTTGTCTTGATTTAAGTCTACTAGATAGGTACACATAATGAATAAAAAAAAAATTGACAGCAGCTTTGAAACTACTCAGAAATTAACTTCCCTTTACTTAACCACTAGAGAGACACATTCTTAAATACGATCCGTAAACATCTTCCAGTAAGTTGTAATGGAACTTTAAAAAAAAATTAAATGACCGTGGGTTTATGCCAATGATCCAATATATCTTGCCACTCAACTGCCCAATAAACTTTGAGCCAGAGCCCACAATTAAAACAACTTTAAGAAGCAACATCAGAAATTTTATAATTGAAATAATACCTCAAAATACAGAGATTATTAATATAACCATCACACCTACTACCAACCTAATATCAGTCAAACCTTAATTTCAATGGAAAACAACAAACCAGCCATTTAAAAATTTGAGTTTTAAAATCATGAGTTTGTTCCTGATGGGTACAAGGAACATTCAAAAATGTAAATACAGAGGATTTGTCACATATCTTGAGCACGCCACGCCCTACAGTTGTACGGCCAAAACCAACTTTGAATCAATGAATCAACAATCACCGTCATCCCAACAAAAAAATGAGCTTGCATTTAACAATTGACATGCAAACTTTCACTTCAAGCAAACACTGGAAAGAGGTCAAGGCCCCAAGCAACAGACTAAATATCTAAGAACAGAGAAAGCCATCAACCTACATCACACACAAGTTAACACAACACTTGCTGCTCTGTCACAAAAAGCAGTTTTTGTACATCAACCCTGGGATTTTCACAAGAGAAAAGTGGGAGTTACATACATATAGGACTGGTAGGACAGAGCAGCACATTTAACGATAAAAAAATATTCACACTACTCCAAATCTCTTCTAGTAATGGAAAAGAAATCATAGTTCCTTATGAATGAAAGTAATACAATCATAGCAACTTTCTTATTATCATCTTTCCAAGTAACCTTGATTAATCATAAATAGTAAGGAACCTAATGCCATATGAAGGACAACTGTCCACCATATTTATGCTATGGTATAAAATACAGTTCCCGATTATTTTTTATACTTGGATTTTCCTGACAACTTAGGTGTTACGTCATGTTCGGAGATGTAGATGAATTATGTATATGTTGTAAGCTTCACAACAAAGTTTGCATTGCTCATTGCAAATTTGGAAATTGCTCAAGTACAGATATATGAAGTGCACTTCTTTTACTTGAATGTATGTACACACACTTGCTTCCATATGTAAAAGAGACACCTTTTTTGATAGGTTTAACAATCAAAGTATTCTGTGTATTTCTACTGGCAGTAGTGCTACTGAGGCATCATTTTTTCCTCACTAACTAACTTTTGATATGGAACACAACAAATGCAGATTTAAGAATACAAATAACAAACACTTGCTAATTTTACAAGATTACTTAAATAGAAACATCACCATATTGATTATCATAACACAACACAAATAACAAAAACTGAGCTTATACAGCCCCTGTTCAATGTCAGTGTATTAATAGCAGAGGTATGCCCTAGTCTTCAAAAATCACCATTGACACTTAGATATCCAAGATAAGAAACTAAGGCGCTACTTTTATCATCAAGGAGTGAGCACTGTCAAAATATCAGAAGCTTGACCAAATAGTGCTTAAAAAACGATTAAAAGGAGACTATGACCATTGTACTAAAGAACAGCTTGACTTTGTCACCTCTTGGAAAGCGGATGACATCTCCTAACAAAATACTTTGCCACACTGCACTAGTGGAGAGCATGCAACATGTGACATTTCTTTCTCCCATTTGCATATGAACAAGGGATGAAGTCTATTTAGAAAAAGATCATTTTTATTTTTAAGTCTTTAAATGTACAGCCTAAAGCAGGAAGCTGATGCAACCAGACAAATTGGAAAGAGAAAGCAAACATGTATACTTCTGATAATAAGTCTTTTATTTCAAACAATGGAAGAAACATCAACAATAAAACAGATGCAAACATTACTATTGGTATAAAAACAAAGTTTAGAATATGTGAGTCTTGGTAAAGAAATGTTAAGTGGCAAACAGCATTTTAAATTCATTGTCTTCAGATGTTTCATAAGAAAAGCAACCAATGGACACCCATGTAATAAGTGGGGTGTCAACTTGAGGCGAAGGGACCAACACCAAACAATACACAATGTCACATGTTCCCAAGATTAATTGACAAGGACCTCACAGATCACTCGATACTTATTCAAATTAAACAAAACAGGTCGTCAAAACCCTCAAAATAACAAAAATGCAGCACCGAGGTAAAGACCAAAACAGCCTCAGTGTAAAGTTAGCAGTGAGATGCTCAACTGTGGGAAAATATATATCTTTCGTTTTCTCTTTAGTATCATATTTAACTGGTCAATGCAAAGAAATTTCAGAATGACAACAACATTAAACTTTTAAATACACGTCTTTTAAGCTAACCACTTTTAGATTCAGTCTTTCCCTTTGAAAGGAATCATGCAACAAATTCTTGGCAAACCTCTGTACTCAAGCTGATAATTGAACTTCTGACATTGTGAACATTGGCAAGAGGCATTACAGGCAGAATGTGCCTTATCTGTACACACACATTGTTTGGCAAACTTAAGCTAACATCAAGAAAATATCAAAACTACTTATTGGGACAAATGGTGATAGACAAATTTCCTTTACATACATACATACATACACACATTCACACAAAGACACTCTCTCAATAACCAAATTCTGCCCCTTCATGTTTGGAAAAAAGTAAAATACCAATGTGAAATACCAAGATAGACACAGCAATAGTGAGTAGACAATGTAAAAGTTAGAGCAAATACAAAAAAGTACAAAAATACTTGAAAATATTACATACCTACAAAGAGAGCGGTAGAAGACCGCTTAAAGATCTTTTAGCAAATGAAAGTTGGCTGCTGTTCTTGTCATGGGGGACAATCTACAGCCGGTCAGATTGAAATTAAAATGCAAGAAGGGAAGTGTTGAACATAACTACTCACAAAACTAAAAAAGTCAACATCAGTTCAAACAAAACCATTTATTGCAAGGGGGAAATTTGAAATTAAAACAATGCAAGACCAGTACACTCTGCAGTCTACAAAGCTATTAGCATGAAAGCTCAAATTCAGAATTTGCCTCTACTTGGCGCTTATCAACTATGAGAGTGTTGGCCTCAGGAATGAATCCCTATATTGCCTTTAAGGAAATTTGGACAACTATCCAGGCCTAAAGATTTCACATATTGCTCGTTCAAATCAATAAAAACAAAACTTAACGGAACAGAACACACTAAATTGAGCACATTTAAAGAAAAAACAAAGAAAGGAAACCTTTCTTGAGAAGTTTTGGCCACATTAATGACTCAGCAGATCTAATTATATCTACCAGTTTCAAATCCAAGAGAAAGTACCAGTATTACTCAAAGGTAGGAATGAGAACAGCAGAGTTACACTTGAAATAACAATCAACTGGTTCAAACAGTGCAAAATTGCTGTAACATGGTAGCTACTTCTGGTATGGTAACTTATACCTCAGTACATAGATAAAATACAAAAGAAAAAGAAAAAGGAAAAATAAATGTGATGGTGTTAAAACAGTAATACAAGAGTCCTATTGATATAACAATCTCTTGGCTTTGAAAACAGAAACACAAGTAATACTTGGACCATACAATCTCAATCTATTCAACTACAGCATAAGTTACATATTTAATATACTTCAAGTACAACTCATGCAATCAAAACATCAGTGATAAACAAAACGGAAATGAAAAAAAAAAAAAACTTCTTCGTAACCGACTGCGTCTTTTATCTTAAACTCTGGCAGCATACTTAAAACAGGAAAAAGAATATTTGACAAATGAGGACTAATATTGCAGTGCATCAATAATCCAACCAGATTCTCTAAGCCAAACTTAAAAAAGATAACAAATAAAAATAAAAACAGCATTTAATAGAAAAGCCTTTGGATACTTTGTAGAAATCCGAGGCGTCATGGAAGGTAGGATCTAACACATTAGAGTGACTAGCATGCGTCGGCCATGGCCGGTACTTCACATACTCCCCAAGGGCAGCATAACAAAAACAAACCAAACACTGCACATTATAAATCTATAGCAGTCTTAGGAAAAGAAAATAAAAACAACATGGAGCAGTGGTTCCTCTTTGGATTCCTTGCATTAAAAATCTTAGTAATCTCTCCAATCAATCACATATTGCCCTTAAACTGTGCAAAACGGATCTCACGTCTTAATTTACAGTGCAAGAAAACACGAACAGCATATACTAAAAATAGAGCTCCAGAAAGAAGAGGGCTTTCAATTCTGCCAAACATGTTTGTAAAGGTCAGGCACCACTTTTTTCAACTCCAACAACTTGTCTAGCAATTGCTACTACCATAATCCCCTGATCAATAAATTTTAAAAAGTTCTTGGTCAAAACAATGCTGCTGGTTCACTTTGACATAAAAATCAACAATGATGCATGAAAGGAAATGTCTAAAATGTGTGCCTCAGCATTACAGGCAGGGCTATGTAGTCCACCAGCCAATTAAAGAAACTCTCAACACACATGTAACAGTTTAAATTACAAAACTAACTATAATCTAAATCTAACATTTATGTCAGGGTAAGAGGATCTACTTCAGAGCTCTACAAAACAATATGTAATATTCAGCAAATCTTGGCACACCACTCCTGATAGAACGCACTAACAAATATTACGGAATGGTTTTCTAGTGGACTGAACTCCACAATGTCTTAAGTAGAAAAATGCAACAATGGAGAGATCTTTCCATCAGCATGTCCATCCAGACGCCAAATAAAGATAGATATGTTATAAATACAGCAACAACAACATCAATAACGTTGTACAAACTGGCCACAATCTTACCTACAGCTCAGGTAGGAAGAAACAATTGTCCATTAAATAGCACCAGCTGAGTAGCCAGGTAAACCAACATCTGGAATGAGTGATAATGTGCTTAACAGTGAAGAAACATCTTGCTATAAAGCACTTATAACGGACATGATCAACAAATTTGGGTAGAAACCCTAACAATCACATGTGCATTGCTTCGGTAATTCATGACTTCACACATGGTAAACTTGACAAAATCTCACCAGGAAATTTCATAGCTTACATACACCGGGCGAGGTTAAGTCACTTCAGTCTTGCACTTTACACCATATCACAGAGATGAAATGCTTTAGAACAATTCATCTGAGATGAACAAGCTTATTGGCTAGAAGCAAAGTCTTGAGTGGTGTTAAGAGTGCGAGCAAATGATCTCTTTACAGACCAATTGGGGGCACCTGCACGTAACGATATATGTACAGACGGTAATCCTTGCTGGCAAGCACCACTGAACCATCATCCATTAATGCCACATCGAAGCATTGCGCATGCTTCACTTTGGACTCCAATGCTGACACAAGTTGTCCATCTTGGGTGAAGATGGTAAGGTTGAAGTTGTTGTGATTATCAGCAATAAGAATTTCTCCAGCGGCATTTATGCCAACACCAATTGGGTAATTGGTGATACCCTCACCACCAATTTGACGCAGGAAGACACCTTCATAGTTGAACACCTTCACACAATGAGCACGGTTGTCACTGATAAAGATCTCTTGCTTATCATTAACAACAACACCATTTGGAAATTCAAGATGCTTGGAGCAGCCAAACTTCTGCAGGACATTACCAGACTGATCAAAGATTATAACTCTCATGACTTTACATTCAACAACAACAATGCGTCCTTTGTTGTCAACAGTGACACCTCTAGGGTGCTGTAGGATGTTGGCGCCGAATTTGCGGACAAACTGCCCATATTGGTTGTAGATCTGAATTTGGTGAGTCGGCGAGCGCTCAGTAACAATTATGTCACCAGATGTACGAACCACTGCAACTCGATTAGGATACAGGAGTTGACCATCACGTTTCCCACACTCTCCAAATTGAAATTTGAATCGTCCTTCTTTGTCAAACATTTGGATGCGATGGTTATTAGTGTCTGCCACTATTATGTCGTTCTGGGCATTGACTGCTACACCACTTGGCTCTGTAAACTGTCCCTCCATAACTCCAAATTCGCCAAATTTGCAATGGTATATCATCTTTTGACGCTTGATCTGAGACTTGGGTGGGAAGATGGATGTAGAAAGCTGAAGTTTTGAAGTCAAATCCATGACATCTCCATGGCTTCCAGATGAAAGAGAATAGTGGTCACTTCCTCCATTCTGGTAAAGCTCACCACCATTTGACCATTTCTCGTAAGGATTGATGCCATTCAAATTTAAATCTCCAAGAGTGGAGGAGAATGGACCCAGACTGTTGGCTGAGCTAAATCTCTTGGAAATGACGTTTGATTCATAAGGAGATGCTGTAGGACTAGGTGAAGAGCCCATGCCATTGTAAGGCCGATCCATCACACCATTCAAACCTCCATTGACACCATTGATAGCGTTATGAATGCCACCAGTGCCACTGATGGCAATAGGAGTCCCATTAGAAGATCCATTGGATGAGATGCTTCCATTGACGTGGACTGTTCCATTGGTAGGTCGGGCAATAGGTGGTTGCTTGCTTGGGCCAACATTTACTTCTGAAGCAGATCTCACATACCCAAAGGTGTTGCGTACGCCAACCTGCAACATAAGAGCATTCTGTCAGATTATGTCAGATTGAAGTTACAAGGATACAAAGAAATTTACATTAATGATAAGATAAAGTTTAATGTAAAATAATTTTTACCTGGATGGCTTGGTAGTTGGAAACAAATTCTAAGTCACAAGCAGCATTTGTTAGGCTTGTATCAGGATTAAAAGATGCCAGTGCCAGAAGCTTTGAGTCCAGCAGCTTTTTGAACATAAGAACTTCTGCAGTGCTGGCATACTTGGTAAGCCTCTCCACAAAATCACAGGTTTGATAAATTTTATCAACAGTTTCTTGACCTTTCTGATTTAGTACATTCAAAGCAACTTGACGAGCAGAGAACACACTGTCCAGCTCTTTCAACAATTCTTGTTTCCTCTCTTCTAACATGGATCGATAAAACTGAAAGGTCTCATTTATTTCATTCTGAGCTTTGTGATATTGGACAGAAAGGCGCCCTGAGGAATGTTCCAAGTTCTTTAACATGTTCCGGATGTCTGTGGCTTTCACTTTTCCCTCCTGGACTGCTTGGATCATCAACTCGACCTGTAAAATAAGAGAATAAATTAGTTGCATGAAAACTACAAAATGTCTCAAACTGGTTTAAGAAGCAAAAGCTTACCTGTTTAGGTCCCACATCACTAATGTGTTCATAGTCATGGATGCCATTTGGATGATCCAGCATAGTGCATTCCTTGCATATAGGAACATTACATGAGCGGCAGAAGTATTTCAAGGCATCTGTTTTGTGGCGAGGGCAGAAGACAACTTTGTCCACTGCTGACTTAATTTCTTCTTTCCCTCCATTCTGAAGTTGCAGCTCACTAAAATTCATTACTCTATGGCCTTCAAAGCAATGCATAAACTGGTGAGCCATCACGCAGTTGGGACACAAATAGTTACTGCAGTCAACACAGCGGGCAACAGCCTCAAAGTCTGAGCCTCGACAGCCTGTGCAGCGTGGATTAGAGGACTTGGGGTTTGCGTCCTCGTTGATTATGTCACCAAGGACACTGTTGACAGAGAAGTCTGAGAGAAGGCCTGATATTCCGTATGAAGAAAGAATGCACTCTTGCTGGCAGGTGGCGCAAGTTAACTTCTCGGGATGATCTTGATTGCGTTCCAAGCAGGATTCACAGAAGGTGTGGAAGCACGGTAGTACTTTAGGGTTTGTGAATGTATCATGGCATAATCCACACTTTGTATTGAAGTTTCCGTTCAGTCCATTGAAGTTGACACTGCTGTTGCTTGAAGATGATGACCCATTCACAGTGATTGGTGAAGAGTTGGGCAATGACTGGGGCGAGATAGAACGGAACTCTGACTCAATCAGTGACTCGATGGAATTTGCAGCTGGTATTGAGTCCAATGATGAGGTTGGGGAGGCCATCTTCAATTCACCTTCATCCCTGAAACACAGAAAATACATGTTTTAATTTCGTGAATCATGAGTCCTATTCAAATGCTGGGAGGATAAGAATTAGGGAATGAGTTAGAAAATCAACAACATGTGAGACAAATGCATGACGATGTTACTGAGTACCCTGAGCATAAGACATAGAATAAAATTCGACATTTCAGAGTTGAGCATTGTTCCCGCCGACCTCCCCTCCAT